AGCTTCTTGTTACTAGTAGTAATGCACTTGCTACTACCTGCCAAGGAGCTTCTTGTTACTAATAGCGATGCACTTGTTACTAACAGCTTCTTGTTACTAGTAGTAATGCACTTGTTACTGCCTGTCAAGGAACACATGGATGATACTATTTAGAAGAGTTCTCTGTGTCATTCTCCCAAGCGGGAATGCGCCGCAGTATAGAAGGTGCCTTGACCCGGTCAAACGCATTTAAGGAAAACACCAGCCATGCTTGATCCAGCGCATTGAAGACAACGAAATAAGGATAGTTGCCTTGGCTCGCTCTCAACTCAATTTCGGCTGTCTGCTCAAATCTGTTGTTGATGTGAACTGTGAATGTGCTTTTGCATCCACACCTCACAGACTCAAATCGATGACCAGAAAGAACAACTTGAGGAAGTTAGACAGCTAGCAAGGGCCAACAGAAGCCCCTGAACACTGCAACGAACCATTAGACATATGCAACACAATACCATGTCAACACCTGTTAATCCGTATTTGAAGACATACTATGCATTCAACATTCTCGGCTTATCTGGCTGGCTTTCAATCAAGGCCCACGGCGGTGAAGAAATCTCAAAAATGATCCCCAGTCATGACTGCTAGGAGTCATCACTCTTGATTTCTCCACCACCGCAGCCCAATTGTCAAGCTCCTAACTAGTTACACTGCACGCAGGAAATCGTAGCCTTCAAAGGCTGCAGAAAGCCTAGCTATCAGATTCGCTCTCGTTAGGGCACCAGCCAACCCAGTTGGCTGCAAAGGTTGCAATGGCACCTGCATAGAGCTCTCCTGGTCCTTATACCATGTGTCGGCTCACAGTTTGCGAAAGACATACGAAGGCTTGCACAAATGGCGCGCTGCGCACGCGCTACACATCTGTGAACCTGGGAGTCCCAACCGTTCTTCTTCACGCGGTTCAAAAGCACTTGCAGGCCGTCTTCTCCTCGCACCTGCGGTGAGGTATCCAGACGATGAATGGATGAAGGAAAGAGGAAGCAAAGGCGCCTGGTAAGTTGTTTTCAAGGTATCTATCGGCGACAGGAAGAGCCTCCACATAGCAGCAGCCTCGCTGCACAGTGCTTGCATGTTGCACATCTCTCTGCTGTTTCGTCATGTGCAACAATATTCAAAGGTTGCCTGCTATTTCTGTTTTTAGTCAGCACGGCAGCTCGCTCAAAATATCGTCTGCAGTCATGTGGCTGTAGAGGCCGCAGCGGTCTTCAAGGGAAGTGGAGCTTCTGGCAGGTAGAAATCCATCAAAACAAGGACCTCATTCTCACAAAGCTGCTTCTTTTCACATACTTCGCTGTTCAGAGTTCAGTTTCTCTTTGGATCCGGGCTCCGGCGTTTGCGGCCTGGGCAACGAAAGGAGTCAAAAACAGTCAAGAGTACTGTCTGACCAGACTTGGAAAAATGTTCACAAATAGCTCGCCCATGGAACGACAAAAAACGAAGTCAAATTTTCAAAAAACACGTCTCTCCAAACTGCAACAATTGGCAGCCGGGCCGTGTCTCCCAAGCGCGACAAAGGTGCCTGGATAAGCGCAAGCTGCCTCAGACAAAAAGATGAGCCGCAGTGGAGTGTGACCCATTGTCACAAGGACGCTACTAGCGGCTCCTGGCATCGCTACTAGGAGCAAGGACGCTACTAGAGACTCTGTACTCTGTACTCTCCAAAGTTCGCTTCATGGGTTTGCATCAAGGTCCCTGCACTCCCTGGTACAGGCGCTTGATACCGCCTTCTTCCCAAAGAGTGCCTGAGCTGACCAAACCACATCCACCACATCCAATAGTTAATAGTCAATTGGATATTCCCAGGTTCTCCAGCACCAGAGCAGCCGGACATCAAGTTGCAAACTGCCCAGAACTCCAGCACTGATTTGACTCTCAATCCATCTGGTTTTACCTCTTGGACGATGGCATCTTTTGGGCCGCTGGGCCACAGAGTGCAACGAAGCTTGCAGCAAAGAATCCCGCAAAACTCACCCTTTGCGAGAGAAAAGGAAGTGATGTGTGGTGAAAAGGGAAATCTCAAGCTGCAATATATACTCACAATATCTCACAATAGTTTGTGTATGGTTTTTTGCATTTTCCTCTTGGCTACCGAGCCAGCTTCATCGTACTCAAATTGATGCGACATTATCAAGCCCCATCTTAGGGCTACCGAAACGATGCCAGGCTCAGGTCGGGGGATTCCCCCTTTCTTTGGACCCTCACCCAGCTGCGTCAGGCTCAGGCTGAATGCCCAAGATTGAGCCCGCCTCGAACATGGATGTGCGCCTCCCAGGCACAAGGCTTGGCTTTACCCTCCACGAATTCAAAACAATTGACATTGGGTAATTTGGGAAAAGACTATTTTGTTCAAAATGACTCACATTCACAATCAGATGGCTTGAGAACATCATAGAACCAACGCATGGACGCATGAAGCTTCCAATCAAAGCTTGAAGCAAAATGACTTTGTCTAAACTAAACATGTACATCAGGCAAAGTTGACATCCGCAAGCTCAGCCTGAAAAGACGGCCTTGAAAAGCTTCGTCTTGGATCTCCTGCCAGCTCTGGGCATGGAAGTTCCAGGCCACAGAGATTTGTGTGTATATATACTACCCCCAGGTGAGTTAGGAGTTGTGCCAATTATGAGACAAGTTGTTTGTTGCACAAGTCCTGGCACATGTGTCTGCGAAACGTTGACTGAAACCATTCAAAAAGCACATGAGATAGGAGTTATACTATTTAAAACGTTTTTTTGGGGGGCGGGGGAGTGCCCCCAATTCCCCTCTCACCAGTGTCCCCTTTGGAATACATAATTTCAAAGAGATAGGCCCTCTGGTGTTCTTGATTTTGATGGTAGATGCATGATGAGATGGGAGTTGTGGACACACTTGGAAACACATGAAATGGAACTTTGAAATTTGCACAGTCACTTCACAAGTCCCAAGTCACTAGTGGATAGTATATATATATATATATATGATATATGTGTATATATATATATTATACACAGAAATCAAAACTGATGTGTGTCCGTGTCTGTGTGTGCTCCGGGGTACACTTTCCAACGTTGAGTGATCGTGAATTTGTACGCTCTCCTCCAACGTTCTGCCTTTGGTCTCAGGCACAGTTACCCGCGTCAGCAACCAAGCAGCCTGAAGGCAGCACACAGAAGCGCCCACTAGTTCGATTATAAGCTCTCCCTGTTCGTTTGCCACGCAAGCACACGTCTTCAGAACATGGTCTTCCGACAAGGTTGCTGGCTTCTTACATCATTTATGGCTCCATATCTGCCGGGTGTTTCAAGTCTGATGTAATACATTGTACCGCGGCCTGATGTCCTGGTTTTGGACGATGTCCATACAACAAAGCAGCCAACGAAAACAACAAAATCAATCTCTCAAAATATGGTGCCCTGCCTGTGCTGTCATAGCATAAGTGGCGAAGACTGTGAACGGACCCCTGCAAAGGACACAGTCAGCCACAAAAAAAGGACTGCAAAACTTGTTCGGCTGATGAAGTCAAATGATCTTCCGAAATGACGCTAGAATCAACAAGTTGAGCCAAAAAGAATGGCAAGTAATTGTTGAAATTCAAGGATAAATATACCTCTGAGTCATTCTGACATTCTGTTCAAAGTACTTCCACTAGACTATGACATACTATGACTATGACAACAATTCATGCAAAATCTTCCAAGCTGCGCCTCGAGATCAACAATGGATGGAACCTCGGCTTTCAAAGAGACGAAAGGCGCATCTGAAAGCCAGTTCAGCCCTTTGAGGAGCACTTGTCTTGAAACATCTGCCATCACACCCTCCACATGTCCTTCAAGCAGCTGCACTGACAGGAGAGTGCTGGTGGAGAAAGTAGCTGAAGCCAAAGCACAACCACGTGCACGCATGTCAGACCTCCGATGCGTCAAATTGGTAGCTTCTCTTTTAGGGACAGTAGTCAGTCGTCATCAGTTGAGACCGCCGCAGAGTACAAGCAATGCGTGTTCTACAGTAGTGTCCATTGCCAAATCCGTCGATAAAAATACTAGTAACAAAGCCTTCAATAAGTCCCAGTCGGTCCGAGTGGCGGGTAGAGCTCCGAGCTTACTATCCATGTCACTGGGCCCACGCAGCTTTGATAGATGGCCTCTGAGCAACTATTCATGACTCCAGGGCCAGAGGCAGGAAACTCTTGCATAAGAGGGAAAAAAATGAGCAGCTGCTTTGGTAACAAGGTGCATCGCTACCAGTAGCAAGAAGCTACTCGTAGCTAAGCGCATTACTACTAGTAACAAGAAGCTACTAGTAGCGACGCACTTGTTACATCTCGTTGCTAGTAGCTTCTTGTTTTGCAGTTTGTGCTGACTTGGATTCCATCCTGAGATGCCAAAAGCCCCGCGCCAGCAAGGCCTGGGCCTGGGTCGGTTGGGAAGGCTCGTTTCACCCAGACCAATTGTCCTGGAATTACAGCAAGCAGCAACAAGTGCATCGCTACTAGTAACAAGGACATTACTACTAGTAACAAGTTGCAAGAAGGGATCAAAAAATCAAGTTTCTGCATATTTCTGCTAGCTTCAGGAGAGAACAGGCTGATTAAGGTGATTCCTGCTGAAGCTTACTAGAGCCATGTTGTTTGCAAGGTCACAAGTTGGAACTCGCTCAACTAGCAAACATGTAAAATGCATTCGGTAACTCAAAGGCAACTTGAGGCCAGGGGGAGGGGGTCGAACTGGCAGTTTCATTCTATGCACTACGGTCGTTGAGGTCAAAGCTTACCATCGAGATTTCAATGAAGTCGGATCAAGTGGGTATGGACATATACTTAAAGTAAGGTCCACTTTACCTGCGGCTATGGAGGTGGACGAAAGGTATAGAGCTTAGATAGAGCTTGGCTGCTTACGAGCAGCAGCAGCAGCAGCAGCAGCAGCACCAGCAGCAGCAGCAGCAGCAGCACCAGCACCAGCACCAGCACCAGAGGCAGCAGCAGCCCAGCAGGCAAGCAGCAGCAGGAGCAAACAGCAGCAGCAAGCAGCAGAGCGGCAGCAGCAGCAGCCAGCAGCACCACGCAGCAGCAGCAGCACAGCACCAAGAAATGCATTCGGTAACTCAAAGGCAACTTTCAGAGTTAAAACAAGCAGAACTCTATTCAAACGCTCGAGACATCTCGAGACCAAACACGGCAATGCACACGAGGCTGGCCAAGCGGCTATGCAGGCCAAGACCAACGGCAGACAGGCCATAGCAAGCTGTGACCTGAGACCATGGTGGCGGAGGCATGCTGGTCGTGGTATTCTCAGCTTCTGGTAGCTCTTACTCAGCCAGAAGGCACCGACGGCGGTGGAAAACATACTTAGTCACATTGTATGATACACTTTGTATCACTTAGCTGTGTACGTTCCAGTCTTGTCTCTTGACCGACAAAGCCATAAACTATTGGTCTAGAGTCGAGATTTCGCCTTGAGTGCTGCCTAGCAGCTCCTGTCAAACCAAAGGAAAGCAACTTTCGTCGGCCAATGGCATCCAACCACAGGAAGCTCGGAGCTGCTATCGCCTGCCCGAGCAAACTCCAATGTTGGATACAGTGAAATTTCGCACAGTGCATTCTGAGGATTGGCAGACTTCGTCTAAGAGTCTTCCCTCTTCTGCACTACAAAAACCGTTCAGCTCACGTGTGAATCATACGAATAAGGTCCACACCAATTTGAGTGCATACCTGAGAGGGTCAAAAGCTCTTTGACATCTACGAGTAGCTGTCCTCTGACACTTGCACAAATGTGTCTCATGCTCAACACAGATTCGAACATAGATTTGAAAAAGGCATCTTTGGTTCCCTAACGAAACCACTATGCACGATCTGTGGGTCAATGTAGTCGGCTAAGGCTTTTCCCGATAAATGGAACTCGAACATTTGCTGACATCAAGACCATGCAAGGTGCGTAATGAAATTGTGTTTTTTGTGTTTTGGTTGTTGGACATGAAATGTGTGACTAGCTTTGATCAAGAGTTCAGGCATTGACAAAAAAGTGAAACAAAGAAGCATGGTTGTGTTAGCAAGGCACATGGCCACACCAGCTGTCGCTGCATCCTGGTAGTGGAAGCCCACCATGCGGAACATCCTCACAGTAGGCCAGTTGGCTGGTGTTTTTGCAATAGCAAATCAAAGTCACTTGGATTATCCCAAAACACAGGGCAAAACTGTTTTGCACACCATGTTTCTGGCCAGCATAGTTCATCTGAGCCTCTGAACCTTGTTGAGATCACAGAGAATGCCAGAATCGCTGCATGGACTTGGAAGATTCAAACGTTGTGAGAGAAACAAACCCCAGCTGTTTCCTTCCTTTCAAGAGCGACTGGATAACACTGCTTTCAAGCTAAGCGGCCAGAGAGGGCCGGCAAAGCATTGGCTGCACACCCTGCAAGAAGCAAGCGCAAATGCACTGGCGACCTCGGCGTCACGCTGACTAGCACTAGATGAAAGCCGAGCACCAAACCCCTTCAGGTTTGACAAACATCAACTTCCCGCACTCTCTGCGTACTGTCCCAAGAAACTTGCACAGTTTTCCTGCTCATGTTCCAGCTTATATAGATCTAAAAATAGCATGATCTGTGAGTTCAGTTCCAATTCATACTCTTCTGCAGTAAAGCGTCCTGAGAATCTCCAATAAAGGTAGCTCTTCTTGCCACCATTCCTGGCGCATCAATTGAATTTGCCGTCAAAAAGGAGTTGAAGAGTGTCAATTCGGTTGTCACAAGAGTATCGATGTTCCTCCTAAGATTTTGCTCGTCAATTGGATAATCGAGGCTACATCTTGTAACCTGTGTGCTTTTCTGCTAGAATTGAGATGTCAAAAATGGAAGCAAAAGCAAAAAAATGGACTCGAAGCCCGAAGCATACTTTGTATGACACGACGTTGACAATTACTGGCCCGGCAAACCAACAACAAACCACAAAGCCAGCTGTACCCGCCTGAGCCCCTTCGGAGGAAGCTGCTCGCCCCAGCAAGTTCAGCTCAGAGACATACCTCGACGGTTTGAATGAACCGAAACACTCTCAGCCGACATGGTACCCTCAAGCTGCCTGTCACAAGCAAGAAATAGATCACTGTTGCACCGGCATGATTAAAAGTATTTCTCTTACTAGTAGCGATGGCCTCCACCTAGTAGCTTCTAGTTACTAGAAAGCTTTTGCCTTTTTAAGAAGCTTCAAAAATATATGTACTAAAAAGCTTCTTGTTGCTACAGGTGAAACGATTCCCAGTGAAACGATTCCCAAGGAAGCTTCCTTCGAGAAGGTACTGCAACCTTCAAAATCCCTTTAATAGGGGAAAAGAATGATCATGTCGATGCCAATCCAAATTACTGCCCCGCAGAATCGAAAGTGTTCGACAAAAACAAGAAAACTGGGCTCCAACCCTGCTACCCTGCTGTATAATTTCCACCCATTGAATCCGACTTCTCCAAGGCCGTTCAACTTCTCCACCTCTTTAATATAACTACGGTATTCGCAAAAAATGACATTCTGTTCCAAGCAAATCCAAGCCCCCAAGCCAAAACCAAGCGCGATACTCTAAATGCTCATTCACGGAACTTGCTTGTCTTGAAGGTCTTTCTTGGATTTGGATAAAGCTTTGTTGTTGCTTGTCAAAACAAGGGCTGTCAATATTGTGCTTCCCTCCGCCACCAGCACAGAAAGTCAACATATTCCAACATCTACTCCAAGCTGCCAAGACTATTCCACCCTTCACTGGCTTTGAAGAAAACTATTCCGTGCGGCCGTTCCAACCCGGTCAAAGGGGTTGCAAAACTTATTTGAGTCCGAATTATTCGGAGAGTTACTCCAAGGTTAATTCAGTTAATGTCCCTCTGGCCTTTGCAATACTAATTTGGCCTCCCATACTTTGATTGCAGGTTGTGTACATGGCCCGATGTGTCACCGACTCAGCTACCAGAGCTACCTCAGCTCCCTCCATTGGTTGAGTGCATGATAAGGGAGGCGTAGTAGCAGAAACGAACATTCTCCTCTCTTTACCAACGGAAACATCCGCCTACATGGTCATGGTCAAAACCTGGAGCTCCAAACCCCAGTAGGTTCTGATCGTTTTCGGTGGTCAACCATGGTCCCCCAGTTTTGACCCACACCCACATCAGCTGTTGGAAACAAACCAAAGTAGACTAAGTAGACCCTCAAGCTGAGGGTCCGAATATCCGCATTGGTGCGGTTGGCGAAATCCAGAAAGCAGTTTAAAGGCCTCATGGTTTTCCTACAAAACCCTCCAGGTCTCCGGGCGTTCGCTCGATGCCCTCAAGCTCAGAAAGCATCGCCTGGTCCGGAAACTCAATACCACGGAGCTGGCACATAGTGCCTCAAATGCAACAGACAAAGCAATCCGTCGGATGTCAACATCATAAACTGTACGCTCAAATGTCTTATCAATTTACATTCCACAGCAGCTAAAACATTCCAGCAAACGAAAGCTTGAAGAAAATGTAAATTATCAAGCAGTTTCCAGTACAGTAAGGTTGCCTTTTTGAGAGGAATCAGCAGTTGTGAACACCTCAGCACTGCCTTCCGAATTTCAAGCCAAAATACTCATTGCCTCTCTGCGAGCTTCCTGACACTGAAGCCACACACACAAGTGCACATCTTGTTCAATTCAAAGGCCAACTTCGTTAAATGTTGCCCTCTGTTGGCTTCACTGCATCATCTTGAAGAGTAAATACATGTTCTTAGATTCTATCTCAAACCATTACACCATAGACAAATTTTTGTTGCATTGCCACAGCAAAAGCATACGCACATTCAGGCCTCAAGCACTTGCAGCAAGTGCCTCTGTGCAGCCTCCGGCGTCTGTGAGGTCTCAGCTGCAGCCATCCGCGCCGCACGTCGGTAGATGGACCTGGAATTTGACTCGTCACTTGACTCCTGCAGATTTTTAGAGGTTTGGCTGGGGCGACTAATTAAGCGGAATCGCCCAATGCAACAGCCTGAATTGTTCCTCAACCCACCAAAGGCCTGGGTGTATCAGGCATTCGCAGCATAGTGACTGTGGCTAGGCCACCAAAGAAGGCTGCAAGACCCCAAATCGTGCGCCACCCATGACGAATGCGCAGGAAGTGCTGGCCTTAGAGCGCACAAATCAAAGCATGCGCAGGAACTATTCAGGACAATGAGAGCAACTGTGACAATAGGGCTACGTCATGATACATCCACTGAACTCAACTGATATCCACTGAAGGTCCAAATACAAGAGATGTGCCTGAGGGCTGGGCCCACTAACGCTCCTATGAAGGCACCGGACACAAAGGTCGTCTCTTGAACTGCGATGGCTCCCCCTGAAGTAAACAGCGAGTTGCTGAATAACTTTGACAGCAAAGGTGAAAGCATGCTAAGGATGTGCAGAGAAAGATCTGGCACAAGTTTACGACAATCTACAATCTACATATATACATATACTGTATAGTATACATAGTACTATTCCTAACATCTCATCTCCTCGAAGCTTGCATTGCAAGTCTCTCGTCCTGCATGGTGGTATATGTATTAATACATACACATACATATATATATGTGCTGTGACAACGGCATGCCAACGATTTGTTGCTGCAACAACAACCATCAGGGCATACACGTCTTGACACCTGTTGATGAAAGCCAACCGGTAAAGCCTCTGGCATGTGGAGGAGCAACTTCGCTGACATATTGCGCGACTGCTACTCCGTTGAGGCCCAGCCCGAAGCCATTCACCAAGCCTAGAGGCAGCCACACCCGCTCACCAAAGTTAGCAGCTCTGCAAATGATTTTTAGTCGATTTGCTCAATCATCTACACCCTTAGGGCCCTTCACAGTGTGGCATTATAACAGGATACCAATCTATTGTCCCATTTTTCCCACAACTCAGTTCTTCCCTTTCCAAGGCACGTCCCAGAATCAGAACCCACAAAGTTGGAGCAAAGCCAGTGAGAAGACTGCCAAGCATCTCCAGGAGCCCTGCCACGATCAGTGCCTTGTTCAGAGGTTTGAAGAGGATTGAATAGGCTCCAAAAGGTTCGAAGACCAAAAAGAAGCCGGTTTAAACTGGAAAAACGAAACGAACAACTGGCAACTAAAACAGATTGAAAATGAAAAAAGAAAGCCACCTGCACAGCCACAAAATGCCAAGGTGCAATACGTGGGGTAGGCATGTAGTAGCCACTCAAGTTTCCAATGATGTTGCTGACCCAAGCAGAAGCTACAACCTCAAGGCAAAACATGCTAGTGGTTCAAAGCCAAGAACATGCAATCTACATGTATCTGCAGCCATGTAATGCATACTCAAGCCAAATCAAACAGCAGCAGGCAAAGGTCCTGGCCCATCCCTGCAAAAGTGGTCCAAAGCGCCTTTGTCGCCTCAAACCTGGAACAAGTCCAAACTCACTTTGACCAGTGATTACTTTAGTCTGCTTTGTCCAGTAAGCATTGACCAAGAAACTCTCTGAGACTTGACGAAAAATGCCAGGAGATGTCTTAGACTTGTTTTAAAAGAATAAGTTTCGGCGAGATGTTTCGCTGAATTCTCTGAGAGTGCTGCCTTTCAAGGCCACCAGATTCTGCAGGGCGCCACTAGCTGCACCATGGTCATAGCCTGTCAACGCCGCAGAGAGGCCTCGCGCCGGCAGTGGCTTCTGCAGCCAACATGCTCCAGTGAGTCAACAAGTGCTATGAGATGAGCGCTTTGTAAATAGACAGACGGGCAAAAGGTCACAGCATGCCAAGAAGGACTCCTAGTGAATTTCGACTGGTGATCATGCATCTACAGCGATCACTGCACGCGCCTATGACAAGGCAATTTGCAAAGAGCACAGGGGTCAAACGCTGAGAATCCAGCTCTGCACCTGCGAGGCCGGAGACTTGAGAAAATTCTTTGCAGCTCGCCACTGGAAACTCATAATAAAAATCCTGATTTCGGGTTCGCCACATCAGCTACCTGCCAAGCCGAGAATCAACTTTGGAATGGTGGGAAAACCTCCTGCAAGACAAGCACCTTCAGTCTCTGCACCACCCAGCAAACGACCACCGTACCGCTGCAGGAATGCATCGTTCTGCTCGGTGCAACTGGGCTCCTACAAGTTCTTAGCAGTTGCCGTGAGAATATGTTTATTGACTAGGCAAGCCGGCAGGACAGTTGAGCAAACAGCCAATTCAAAGGTATGATGTACAACGTATGTTGCCGCACTCTTTTCAAGCTGATTGAAGCGATGATTGGTGTCCAGCTCGCTGCGGGCTCAAGGCCTTCCCAGCTCCAAGGCCTGCGAAAAATCCTCGAGTGGCTGACCTTCACTGCTGGCTTCTCTTCCACTGCCAAGGAAGAAAAAATGATGTAAGAAAACAAAACATCAAAAATAAAAAGGTACAAGCCAGCTAAGCCACTGGAAGCATCTTGCTGCTCCCATACTTGAACTTGTCAATGGAAGGGACTTATTCTGCGTTGTTGACTCCTATGAGTCAAATCAAATCTCCGCAAGGGAAAACACCCACCATCGCGAAGGAGAGCATGTCCGGCAAGGGCCAGTTCACGCACGGAGCCTCTTTTGACTTTTGCTGGATTTGTTGTTGTTCTCCACAAGTTGTTGCTCGTCCAAATAGGGCATGCACGCAGCCACCGCACAGAGTGCTTCGTGGTCATCTATATAGGAGATTTGATGCCAGGCATTCTTCTGGGAATCATGCTCTGTCTGGTGTATTCCTCTAAGTCTGCAGGCTTGGACTCTTCAAAGTGTTGGTGTATAGCTCCTGGCAGCAGGCACCATCTCCTTTTCTACGAGGATGTCTGGCCACGCAAGGTAGCAGCTCTCTCTCAAACACCCAGTGTCTCAGTAAGGAGACAGCTCGCTCCAAAACGTACAAAAATTGTGGTCAGCTGAATCTTGGGTTGCAAACATCTCACCACCAGCCGCACCAAGGTCAGTGGGTGGGCTGAACTGGCCGACACTTCAGGAAATCGCATCAGCCTACGAGTAGGGTGTCAAGCCACCTTGAACGCCACGGACAAGTGGTCCGATTACAATTATATACAAGAATCATCTTGGCTCTTACATGACATGGCATGTTCTTCAAAGGGTGAATGGAGGACGTGCTCCAGGATAAGCCATCCGCAAATGCGTGGGAAACACTAGGACCAGGTCAAGCCGACATGAGCTCCCTTTGCACGGATGAGGCCAAATACTCAAAGTTGCAGCGGCGCAGAAGGCACAGGTAGAGGGCGACCTGAGTCGTCGTGAAGGGGCAGCTTGCGGGAAGGCATGACAAGCTACAATCAAGCATGCAAGCTTTGTTTATTGAACCTTGACTGGAACTATCATGGAAACCGCTCTTGCCTGGTCTGGCTTGGAAGATGGTTTTGGAGGTGGTCTGTTAGTTTCTGTGCTGGTTTCGGAAGGTAGGTAACTTCCAATGCTCCACTAACCGCGGTATGCAGGAGGGCTTGTGGGTAAGTCCATGAGCCTCTTGAAGGGTTTCTCAGGACTACTTCAAAAGGCTGATGGACTTAGTGACTGTGTATATAGTGACGAGTCGTTGCCTTCAAGAACTGAGAGAAACCTGCCAGTTGAGTTCGAGAAACCAGAGCGCTATTTCCTCAAAGCTGGCCTGAAACATTTCAGGCGCAAAAGAAACAACTGCCAATGTATCCATGTGTCTGTCACCATCATGCCAACCACTCCAGCCACCCAAATGCCAACCACACCACTGGCCAAAGGCAAGGAAAGGACCTCATCACACATCGAGCCATTACTTTGCTCGAAGGGCAAGCCAGAAAGAATCTACTTCTACCGTCTATTCTCCATTGCGCGTTTTCAACAAATACATACTAAACTGGAAAGTAAACGGGTCAGACCTGTCTTCTATGGCCGGAGTTGGACATACAGACATGCATACTTGTTCTTGCGTCAGAGAGACATAGGCTCCACCGAGTCTTACCACTAGCATAGTCAAAAGCTTGATTCGACTCGCTGCCTTCTGCATGCCCAGCCCAATAAGGCCACTCTCCAAAACAGTCTGCAACCCATCAAAGAGCTGAAAAAGACCTTCCAGCTTATGTCTTGAATCATTATATTGTATTGAGATAGATAGGTAGATAGACAGACAGACAGACAGACAAATAGACTGTTAAATTCAATCCCTTCTGTCTTAAACTGTCCACTTCAGCTTGAGTTTCTGTATATCAATGATACCATCCCGCCTAGTATCACACAAAGGAGCTCCAAAGTACTGAGCACATCTGGATCGGATGTGTAGAGGCGTGCAATGAAAAAGCGGCTGGGGATCAAAATGACCGCAACCAGCAAACATGTCCTCAGTCATTTGAGCTCCATCAAACATGACTTGCATGCATTCCAATGTAAACTCAAGACTGTTGGACTGCATTCAATGGATTCCAAACATCACCACTTAGAACATCAGCAGAAGTCAAACTTACAAGGAACAGGCACCATACGCCCTCTCAAAAAGGAAGCAAGCAAGTGTTCAAATCCAGTTTGTCTTGTCGCTTTGCAAAGGTCGCACTCAAGCCAGGAAACGAAAGGATCAACATCACAGCCACCTTCAACGAAGATTTGGCATCTGTGCTGCTGCCTCCACCAGTGCTGGGCAACGTTGCAATCAACTTTGTTGCAGCTTAGAACAAAAAATATCGGCATCAAGCTGCTACTAATTAAGTTTGCATGGTGCTTGTCAAAAAAATTACAACACCTTCACTGAACATCACCTGGCCCTGGCAAACATGTGTTCTGTGAAAACGCCAAACTTCTTGAAGAATCACAGAAATCGGAGGCCGGTTGCACTGCACAATGCTCTGTAACGTTTGCCTCATTGAGTTGCTCATCTATTGATAGCATGTCTTGTAAGAATGACTAGCCGACGAAGACTTCCACTGGACGACCTTCAATCTCCAGAACCCATGGCACCTGCACCGATCGCATGGCCTACCATGGCTGATGTCGCATTCCCTAGGCCGGTGGGCAACTGAAAGACGATGAGCAGCACGCTGCAAGCAGCAGTGTGTGCTGCAAGGCCGGTCTTGCCGCAAAGGCCTCTCCACTTATAATTACGAGCTTTGCAAAATTGTCTTTTGCACATGTTTGTTCGCTGTACACAACAAAGCCTCTTCACAAAGCAATGTTAATTCTAGAGTTGCACCTGCCAGGAGGCTCATTGCTTCGTAGGCCCACCACTCTGCCCACATCAGCACGGCTGAGGGCAACGCCACTCGGAGGTAAGCTGCAAAGCTCGAATTGTCGCAGTCGGACACGCCTGTGCGCCTGCAAGCTTCGAAGCAAGACTCTGACATGTTGCAAAGGAACTGCACAAGCTTTCAACTTTGCCTCTAGAGACACCAGATCATATTCAACTTGGTTTTAGAGGCGACAAATCATCTCATATCCAAACGCATCAAATGACGACAGGACCGACAATCAAGGCAATAAGAACATAAAGCGACGAAGCGCACCTGCACTTCTGAGAAAGGAGTTCCAAAGGCAAAATCCGCCAGGCCTGCTGTTGGAAAGCAAGCCAAAGACCTTGCCTCTTCATTCCTTCTTCATGACTTTGGATAAGCTCCAAGGTCTTGAAACTTTACCAACGGGCCGAGATTGCAAAGTTGCTTGCATCTTGAGGTGACAAAAAACCATCATGTCGTTGTACCGAATCCAATGCAACATGAACATTTAGCATGAGGGGTACCCATTCAACAAGGATCACAGCCCGGCCACTGTCACAATCTGCTACACCTGTTCGGCCCCACCCTGCCTCCTTGCATGGTCCGGGCCTAACAATGGCCACATAGCTAGTCAAAAGCCTGCACGCTGCCACAGACCAAACACTGTTGATCGCAACCGGAAAGAAGTAAAAACGACTACCCAATCCCTTGCACCGTTGCACCATGCCAGGACACAGGAAGTTCAGGCCGTAGGAGAGCGTGACCGTCAGACCAGCACCAAAGGCACCCTTTCAGGATTGACATTCAAGAGGCAGGACTGCAATCAAAAGAAACAGTTAAAGAAATCAATCATCTTATAGTCAAAATGCACCGCCTTCTCCCAACGGTGTATAAGTAGAAAGCACCACAAAGGATGGCAAATCACCACCACAGTGCTGACTAAAAATATTGGCCGCGGCAATTGCATAGCTCGAAGAAAGGAGCGGGTAGCACAAGCCAAGAAATGGAAGGGCATAACAAAAATAGTCCCACGCACATACAGTCCAGCATCCTCGGCAAAATGATTGTGGTGCTCTTGCTGGTTGGAAGCTCATCATACCCCCAAAATTGTCAAATGACTTTCGAGGAGAACCGGTGTCCTGGGCAGTGCGCGGATTGATGCCAACTGCACGAAATAGTGCGTCAGCGCGCCACATGAGCAGCATGCCTTTGATCATAAGGAGGCAAAACAATACAGCCTGAGAAGAACACCATCACTTCACTAACGAACACTTTTCCGAGGTGCTTGGAAAGGCCACCAGAATACATAAGACTTGCGCCTGTTGCAACGATATGCAGCACAAGTCCAAACGTCCGGCACCTTAGCAAAAAGCACACTTACAAAATTAGGGCAGCGGTTCCTGAAACATCTGAAGCAAACAAAAAAATGTGTCCAAGGCATAGCTGCACGACCAAGTGAAAACCCTGCGCTCCACTCTAAGAGTTCAGCCTTTGCTCTGGGAGACCAAAGTGTTCAAGGCACTATTCACACCAATTCCCAAGCCTTGGTCGTTGGAATTTCACGGCTCTACATCTTTTTGCCAAAATGTAGGGATGTGGATGGGTTTCATCTCATCATATCTTGACAACAAGAACTAAACTTTGTGTGTGTATGTATATATATATATACAGTATATACCTGGAAAAAAACGAAAGCCAGCCTTTGCGTCAAGGGGGGTGCCCTTAGGGCTAGCCTGGCAGCTGGAAGTAATGAAGTTGATACTGC